AAAAAGAATCCATAAAGCCTCAGACTGATAAATCACCTCTCACACACTCTGCCTCCCCCTCTGTGACTCTCTGCCTCCCTGCAGCTCTCCTCCAAATGTTTCTCTCACATCATGGAGCAAAATGCAATTACAGTAAACGTAATCCTCTAGTTTTAGTTGTCGAATCAAAACCTCTTTTGTGTGCATGCACATAAATACTTTTCTGGGAAATGTACAATTCAGGGACTAAGAATCGGTGAGTTTAAGAGCACAAAACGCAAAGGAGGTCCAAAAATCCCAGTCATAAGAATGTGCCTTCCAACCATCCCTATTATTTGGATTCATGGGTATGAATAAAAATATTGTTGGTCATGATAAAACTTTTTATAACCAGTGTATACTTTTTAAATGATTATTGGTTCCATGCTATTCGTCCACCATAGAAATACAGCAGATTTATAAAGAATATAGAATTTGGCCATGACTGTTCGTACGATGCTACAAAAAATACTTGCACATAATAAAATATAATTTTAAATCAGACAAATTAGAGTGAAGGGACTTTAAGCTGTCCCAGACGGTTGTTTTTGTGTTCAGTTTACATGACGCGGTGACAAAAAGACCAAAGTAAAGCCTGGATTGTCTGAGCCTCTTTGCCCCGCATGCTGTTCTCTCCCTCTCACAGTCATGCAAACTGAGCCTAATGTAAATTGTTCGGCCAAACTTGAAGCTAAAAGGTAAAACGATCCTCCGTCCTTGTCACCTTCACTCATGGCACTGACAGGTTGAAGTGTGCCACGGTCGTCTGGGTTGTGTGGCTGGTTCCCATTACTCCCCACTCCAACCAATCAGCACAGACGGCTATTACCAAATGCTGAAGTACGTGTTGGTTGTAAAGATGGTGAAGGAATAAAAAGGAAGGCGATGGAAGTGACAAAACCTCACAATCTGGTGCAATCATACCTGAGTTTACAGGAGATAACTTTCTTTCCATGCTTCTGCAGGGGATTAGATATTTACACTTGCAGGGCTGCAGAGCTTGATTGAATTCATGCTTCGCCAAAGAAATAAATTGTGGTTTAAAGTGGCACTAACTGCAGCCTCTAATGTAGTTAAATTACACACAAGCAGTGTGTTATTTGTGCAAATTTGTCATTACTCCGCAAAATCGTTTTCTCTAAAAGACCAAAAAATGACAAAAGGCACAATCCCAAGATACTTAGGCCAACAATCTAACACCCATGTAACAACACAGTACCATTCTTTGCCTTGGTGTCGTTAAATGTTTACTGAGTAAAACCGGATCCCAAATGTTGCACAGTGTTGTGCTTTGACATCAGAGAGTTTAAATGGGGGGTTTCCAATGGATTTTCTCTGCTGTGTGCATGCAGGGAGGCTCGGCCTGCTCTCCAAACAGACGAGGGCAGGAAGCCTGGCTAAAGGTCAGAACCCCTCGGACACTGAGAGAAGACACGGACACATCAAACGAGGAAGAGTGATGTCTCTAGAGGATCACAAAGATGAGGATGTGGCTGCTCCGAGACTAAGAGGAGACAGGTTGAGTCCTCCTCAGGGCACTTATTTAGTCCCTCTGTAGTTTAATATGAAAACAGTAAATCTATCAGTTTATGATGTTTAGGTATACCCCTGAAAGCATACATTTAATAAGGACATTAACTTGACTTAAGCATCCGCTTTATAATTCAATTTTTACACTCGTGAAATTGTACTTTTTACTTCACTGCATGTACGTATGTTTCTAAATGACTGCAGATATAAAAATATAATCACCTTGAAGTAGTCTATTTTAAAGATTAAACTACAATGAATTATGTAAATGTTAATTTGTTTTTGTGTTTAAAAAAGAAATCCAATATTAATACCAGTACTGACTCTACATTCTCATAATTGATACTTTTACTTTATCGTTGATACTGAAAAACTTTTTGATTTCTTTTTCTACTTTCACTAAAAAAATATACAAAAACTTTACATTTGATTTAACCTGTTTATTTTATTTTTTTTAAATATCCATATTTTATCCATTTACTTCCGTTTTGATAATTGTGCTGCTTTAACAGTCACACTAAGTATTCATTCTCTTTGTAGACATAATACTGTCGGTGTGTCAGGCTAAGCTGAAAGCGTGTTTGAAGACATTCCTTGTTGAATTCATGTAACTTAATGACTGCTAATGTTCTGATTAGGAACATATAAGAGTCTAATGTATGGAAATGTTTGTTTAGTTTTCCTTCGGCCTAAATGGTCTCGGTTATAGTTGGCGGCTTTGAGAGCCATCATCACATCACCTTTGACTGACTGCATGGAGCCACAAAGCATAACAACAAGGCAACCTGAAAGTATACTCTACGTTGTGTAAAACGCACGTTGGATAAAAGAGGTATGGCAGTATGTAAAATACAGCAGGATTTTCCAATAAACACATAAGGAATCATTTATGAATTTCTGCTCAGCCTGTGAGTTCAGCATATTTTACTGCTGCCTTCAATTTATGTTCAGTCAGTCAGAGATGTAGGAGTCAGTAAAAGGTGGATAAGTCCAACCTGCAGTCAGTCAGAATCACAGGAAGCAGCCACCAGTCTCAATGAATTTCTATTTCATGTTTTATAACAAAACTGATTTCATTTTTTTTTTACATTTTAAACATTATGTTGAAGATAAATTGACTAAAATACATTAATTTTACAAATCTTAAAATGTGATGACCCAGACTACTTGTGTCTCTGAGGGCCGTAGTGAGTAAAGGGAAATCAAGTCGGAGAGGCTGACATCTGAGTCGGATTAATGCAGAGCTGCTCTTGTCTAAACGCTGAGATGTTTTTTCCTGCCTCTTCACTGTGAATCCGGTCACAATGTTCAAGGCTCTTTGTTGTTATAGTTAACCTGACAGCCTGCACGGATACATTTGACTTTACTCCAACCCTGAGGGAAAATATCAGGGGAATAAATGAAATGGGATAAATATTCTTCCAATTTTCATCTCTGGGTTTAAAACAGAAAAAAAAATGCTTTGAATAAAGGCTTTTAAAGCGACATTTATGAATTTACTTTCTTAATTTATCCGGCCTGATAACTACAGATTGTTTACGACATAATGTAAAATGTAGATTTAGTGTAGGCCTATCCATGGCAGGGTTAATGCTAATAAACACAGCTTTTTATAAAAGTACAGTATGAGTTTTTTAAAGATGGATCACCGTTCTTGGAATATTTGGAGCCAGAAAGTGTTTTTCGCAGGCCTATTTCCAGAAACTGCCAAAGGTCTTCAACAGAACATTTCAGAAAAACACAGAGAGACAAGCAGCGCGTGCACGTCAAGAAAAGAGGAGTGATGGCTTCATGCGTCAAAGCAACGAAACGAATAACTTTCCCCCTCATATTATTACTCTAAATAACATTTTAGAGCCACTGCTGTTTCAGTCGAAGCCCGTTGTTAGATGTTATTTATGCATCTGTCGTAAAAACGTGATTTTACTGGATTTGTGGAAAGGGGGAACATTAACATTTTTGGAAATTAAAGCACCAGTCTAAAAAAAAAAACTTCGCTCATTAATGGAATATTTCGTTTGTAATATAAACATTTAATTTACCCTGTTTTAACTACTAAATGTGTTATTTTCGCAAGTTAGATGTCCGGGAAAATGTGTGAAATGTTTCAAAAGCAGAGAGAGAGAGAGAGAGAGAGAGAGAGAGAGAGAGAGAGTCAGGGAAAGTAGAGCACCAAGTCTTTGTGGCAGAATAATACTAACGTACACCAAACACAACGTGTTCACAAACCATCAGTTTATAAATGAACTTAAAGAATTAGCCTAGAGAAAGGACATTTGAGCGGAATGTGTGTAAATGCGTTTTGCAGAATTAAAAAAAAAATTGGAATCAGTTTGTGTAGCTCATTAACAAAAAGCTGGAGACTTGAAACAGATCGTGTTGTTGTTTCCTTAATTTTCGTGTTTAAGATGTGGCCTGGAGCTGAACACTAAGGCTTAACAAAAGTAAGCAAAGTAAGTTAACATATCAAATGTTTGTCTGTGTGTGGGGGTGGGTGTGGGGGGGTCCTGTGAGAGTAGGCGAGGATGCAGCAAAGCACAAACCAGATTAATTAATTCTGCTAAACGTTTAAATTCACAAGAAGCATCTCTTGCCTCTTTCTGGATGTAAATTCTCTGGATCCTGATTCTCTACTTTTCATTACTGTGTCTCAAGTAGGCTGAGGAGACAAATGTTTTCTGGTGAGGAAAAAAAGGCATAAAGCCTCTTCAAAGTGGCCGACAGCCTAACGAGGGTCAAAGTTTTATTTCCCCCCCTCATCTTTCCCTCTTAACAGCGCTGCCCTGCACAATTAAAGCTAATTGGCGCCAATCAGGGAGCGCAATGAAATGAAAATATTATCAGTTTGGAGCTCACTGCGTGCGCCATCTGAAAACCTGCTAATTTAATTGTCCGACCCTGCTCCGATATTAAGGATTGTAATGCAGATTATCGCATTATATGCGCCGTAATTTAATTTTGATGGCCAAAGGGACAATTTGATAGTCGGGTAAACAAGGCTCTTCTTAACTGTGTTACGCACATCACTACTGCTTCATGTCTGTGGGCTGGGGTGACCTGGGTAAAGTTTGCTGATGTTTTTTTTACGCACAAAGGACTTTTAAAATCTTACTGGAGACGAGAGAGAGTAATAGACATGCTGAAAAATGAAATTGGTGACTTTATCATTGAGGTTGTGAAGGCACATTTTGGATCAATCGGGGAAAGAAATCTCTCAGTTCGGTTTGCTGCGTTCAAGGAACCAAAGTGGTAATTTCACGCATTTCTGCAGAACAAAACTTCGAAACCATTCGGGCTATATCTGCGGATCTGCACAGATATAAGATATTATCAGACAATACAAATGTCATTGGGGAAACATCAGTGACTACATTTGAGCAAAACAAAAAATGTCTTTTGTGATGTAACAGCCTAACAAATCAAATCCAGTTGAAGTATTTTTCTCCACTCACCATAGCACGGGATAAGCGCTCCGTTGTGTCCGCTCTCCTGGTGCAGTTTGCCCTCCTCGGGGGGTGTTTTGCAAGAAGACCTCTGCATGAAGAGGTGGTATTTGCTGAAAGTGCCTTGCCCAGCTGCGGCGGCATCCAATGACTGGCACTCCTGCTGCTGCTGCAACTGGAAGGGGCTCCGGGACTTTTCTCCGTACCCCTGACCTTTGTTGGGCAGGAAGGCAGTGGGGCTGTATTTGGTGTCAGAGGCTGGATATGTCCTAAAGTGGTCCGTGTGGTGTTGATGATCCCTACCTGGCGCTGCAGATGGGCTATAATATGAATCCATCGATGTCATATCGCTGTATGAAACGCACGCCTCGGCGTTCATGCCTCAAAAACGAGTCAAGGGGAGAAATAGACCCAAACTTTTTTTTTTCTTTCTCTCTCTCTCTCTCTCTTGGTCTTGGTAAGGGAAGCGCAGACACCCCTCCTCTCCTCTTCCTCTACCTCATGAACACACACACATGCACACAGACACCAGAGTGCAGCTGGGTTTGGTTATAAAACGATTCAGATCTTTTCCAGGAACCACTGTCGTTGACCAAACAGTCCAAACTCCCCCTCAGGTTGGAGCAGAGTTACACAAACGCGTCTTTCCTCAGAGGACGGGATGCAGATCTTCTGGCTTTCAGGACCTCTCCCAAGTGACACTGCTGATGACATGAGAGGGTTAGGTCGCTTATTAGCAGAACAAAAACAGAAAAAAGTTTGTTAAACAGGGGCGGGGGGGCTTAACACATGACATTAATGTAATTTGGATATGAATGCAGCCTATGAGTGATGGCACTGGGGCGGAGAGGGCACAATTTTACGCTTCATTCGCAGTGGTTCATCGAGGGCAAATCGTCCATACTCAGCCGATTGTGTTCTGACTGCAAACTTTGTTGCTTCTGAATAAAACTGTAGGATAGTTTGTAATAGATTTTTAATGCTTTAATTAGCACGGGAAACGAATTTTAGACGCATTTCCATTATAATTCTTTATTTCATCATTAAAGAGATAACATGATCGCTCATGGAGTGCAGTTTAATTCAAAGAGGCAGACTTCGTTTTGAGTTATTTCTATGGATTCTCTGACTAAAACGTTTGAGGAATAATTGACCAAAATAAGGGTGCACACAAATAAATATGAATTGACCAAAGAAAACAGTACGACTATGAACTTAACGCGAGTATTATATCCACATAATTTGAATTAGCCTTTATGAGATTTCAATTAGTTTTCCATCTGGAACATCTGACTGAAAATATTTCAAAATGTAGGCCTAATCTTTGTGAGATACTATGATATATCTTATTATACCGTTGTCTTATATCTGTTGTCTTTAAAGTAAAGTAAGTTTTTTTTGTGTCAATTCTGCGTTGTATTCAAGAAAGTCCGCCTGATCTTTGCTGTAAGTTGTTGCAGACTGTGGAAAAGTAAAGCAGCCTGCAACGAAAATCAGTGTTAATACTTCGGTAGGCCGTGGAAGGACGCTTGATACAAGGAAACTCGTCGATAATCACATTTTCAGAGGCCCCGTGCATAAATACAGCAGCCAGTGAATTTACTTACATTTATAAATAACTTTCTTTACCATGAAGGTATTTCTTGAATAGACGATTCCGATTTGACCATTTTAATATCAAAGAAATCCCTATTGTATTATTATTATTATTATTTGTGTTTCATCTTCCAACAATGAACATATTTGTAACCGAGCATTAATAAGTGATCCATAAGAGCAACGTTTTTGCCTATTTCAGTCATTTGAATCATTGATGCGACCTTATGAATTTGAAAACACATTTGATTTTCAATGCAACAGTTTGCACAATTTGAATGTTTTGAATTAAAGACTTATTTAGTTGCTCTATTGTTTCTGAAGACTGTGTCGTGTCAGCCCTGGTTTAAAAATGCCATAAACAGATGCTCACAAGCATAAAGTGTTCATTTGTTTGTATTCGTCTTGTGCAGTTTCCCTTCAGATCCATTATATTTTTATATAAATACTGTTCAAAATGTTTTTGTACATCCCATCATTTCCCAGTTATACAAGTGAGCTGAGGCATCATGAAATCTATTCATGTTTCTGATTATTGATGTTTTATTTCATTAAATAAGAGCACATGATTTTATGTCTTGCACTGTATAATGCATGGAAACTAATGTAAATTAGAATAATCAGAAATATGCTCCACATTTTTTTTTTACAATTGTGGATTAAAAATCTAAAATATAACCTTTCCACTGTTTTCTCCATCCTCTGCTACAGGTGAGCAGAAAACAAGATGTGAATAGAATGAACACATGCCCCCCCCCACACACACACACACACACACACACACACACACACACACACACACACACACACACACACACTCCCAGAGCTTATTTCCTTCTAGTTGGAGAACTTTCCGACATACAGCTTAAAGCCTCACATATTGTGCACAAGTACAGTGCAACAAACACAGAAACACATCTTCACCGCCATGCACACATGGTAGACACATGCATGCACACATACTACAACACATGTGTGAGAAAGTGAGAGAGAAAGAGGAGTAGAAATCCTTTTCTTTTACAGGATTAGAATTCAAATGAAGTCCATGAAAGGTGTCCATACTTACATTTTTGACGTAATGTTCATGCTCTGAAAAGACTGGCTCACACTCAGCTGTAAACTGTCTCAGGAGGGAAAGCTAAAATGACTTTACAACAGTTTATGTTTCATGTAATTCAGTCAAACAAATAGCTCATCCTCTCCATATGTCTGCAGCTGGATTTATGACAGAGAAGCAGAATAATGAATACTAGCCCCGTTTTCAACCTGCTGCAGAAAATATCCATACATGAAAAACGATTTCCATGCATGAATATTTTCTCTGCTCTATTCTTATAAGTCAGCAGATTTTGGGTAAAAATCATGTACGGTAATAATGTTCAAGCTAGCAAGCTCACCGGCAGTGAGTGAGTTTATGGCAATGATATCTGTAATGCAACTCAGTAATTCTTCATGTTTGCAGCATTTTTTTTTTTTTGCATGATTCTGCATTTTCAAGGACTTTTTGTTCATCCCCAAGCATCATAACAAGGTCACAAAGGTCATTCATTTATAATTGTTTTATATAAAATGCTCTTGTGTGGTATCCAGAAGAAAAATTGAAACCAGCATGACACGCATGCACTTCATTAAATTCTATATGTTTCTAAATATTGTCTGATGTGATTTAGCTGCAGGAAGGCTTCAACTGCTCAAAATAAAGATAGAACATAGTGTGTTTTATATTTCCATTGGCATGTTTGGATTGTGGTGCATGCTTTGGCCACAAGCATTATTTGATCTTTTTTTATTTCACAGAGAAAAGTGGTTCTCCTTTTACTAACTGTAATTGCTCTTTTATAAGAACCATGCAGAGTCACACTCAGGTACGGTCAGAGTCAGAGAGTCAATGAGCTGCTCACTATTAAAAAATACAATTTATGGGTCAGTTTTCAGGCTCAGCCAATGAAAGCTTCCCCTTAACACAGGAACACCTGCAATGAGTAAGGACGCGTTAAAAAAAACACAGAAACACACACACACACACACACACACACACACACACATTCAGATAGACGTTCACTATCACAGAGTGCCTTCATTCATACACACTAAAAGAGTCACTGGCTTCATATTCAACTTACAGAAACACACAATATTAAGCCAGATTTTTTTGGAAAGAAGTCACTGATGACAGATGTTAGATATTTAAATTGATTGTTAACAGTCTTCATAAAATCATATTGATTTGACTGTTTTTATTCTCATATGGAGAGACAACTGGTCTGAATCTGCTCATGATGATTGCAGACCCTTAGTAATGAAACATTTACTTGATGAAATCTTTTCATGTTGAAATTTACTGCATTTGATTAAACAGACAGAGATAAAAATTGTAAGAAGAAATAATGAAAGTTTTTTGATGACAGACCCCCAATTGTTTTTTGAAGCATTTGTATTTTAAACATGATTTTCAGCCATCAGTGTGACCACTTTCTCTCACTTTAACTTATAATTCAGACCCTGAGTGTAACAATGGAGAAAGACATTAAGAACAGAACGAGTAAAAGGGGAACTTTTCTCATCCATCTTTGTTTTAATTAGACACACTTGACAAGCACTTTCTAAAAACTGAACAATAGCTAGGGTTAACAAGTCTGTCAGGAGGACAGAATGTCAGCAGACGATCGTCATCTCCTTCATATATATTTCTCTTTGCCGGAAACTTCTAAACTAAGAGTCTATTGACTCACAGCTGTGACTAATTTTTCAGGAAGCCGTGTGTAATTATGTTTCATTTTCTAAAATGTCCTCTTAAATCGAAATACATACACACATTGTCCGAACGGCATAATGGGTAAGACTGTTGTCCAAGTCAGTGACCTTGGAATGGCCTTTCAGTGTGCGTTGTTTTCAGATGTGTCTTTCCTCTAATGGGCTCTTGTGAGATATTTGCGAATGATGGGGTTGAAAGAAAACATGAGGACACGGAGGAGACATGAGCCTACATCCTTGCTGCTCTGACAACATTAAACTTTAGCCTCTCCAGTTTGCTTTCCCCTCTGGCAAAGCAACTTGATTGAGGCCTTTGATGGGCATTAATACAGCGTGGAGAGTCGGCTTTGTTCGGGGATGGAAATGAACATAAAACGGAAAGCGGAAAAGGAAGGAGAGGGGCCCACGAGCTGATCTGATTTGATTTCACATAAAAGAGACATTCCATCTTCACAGAGCTTGTTTGGGCATCTCAGTGTACGAAAAGCCAATGTTTTTCAAAACAGGGGTCATGTGTGTGTGTGTGTGTGTGTGTTTGTGTGTGTGTTTGTGCAGATATCTTTTGAGCTTTCTATGGAATCTAAATGGTAAAGTCTGATCCATCACATGTAGTGGTACACTTTCGACTAACACTTCAGTGGCACAGCATGGCTAAATGGAGAAATGTTAAGTGCAACTACCTGGTGTAATGAAGACAGCCCTGCCCACTAGCTAAACATCTGTAATTAGTCTGGACCATGTTCTCTTTTTCTACTGTGTAAGAAATGACCTAAGCTCTGCTTCTTCTTCGTGACATGCAGATATCTGCAGTGCATCTGACTGAATCACAGATTGCCCTCCTGTCATATCCCATTAAACTGCTCTCAGTGTAAAATAACAGCTCTGCACCAGAGCTGTGCTGGACTCTTTGATGACTTCTTGACTCAAACCACTTTATGTCTTTTTCAGTTTTGGCAATATTCAGTGAACTGGCAGTAACTCAAGTGATTTCTGTGTGTTTAAAAAGAAAATATATTTTACATTTATCAC